AATAATGCATCGGTTTTATATAGCGCTTTTTTGGACACTCAAAGACGCTTCACATGTCATTATTCATTCACTCCAAACACGGTGGTGATAAACTACTACTGTAGCCACAGCTGCCCTGGGGCACACTGACAGAAGCGAGGCAACCAGTCTGTGCCATCGGCCCCTCCCACCACTACCAACCATTCACACACACACCAGACTCATTCTAGGCAATGGGGGTGAAGTGTCTTGCCTAAGGACACAACGGCAGTTTGGCACTTTACAGCCGCAGCCGCCCCACTGTGGCTGGTGTTCCCAGAGGTTAAGTGTCTTGCCCAAGGACACAACGACAGCAGACAGTGAGAGTCGATGGTGAAAGTCTTGAGCGGGGCCACGACCTTCTGGCTCAAAGGCCAACGCTCTACCAACTGAGCTACTGCCGCCCAGTATACGACAGTAGTATACAACAGTAGTATACAACAGTAGTATATGACAGTAGTATATGACAGTAGTATATAACAGTAGTATATAACAGTAGTATATAACAGTAGTATATAACAGTAGTATATGACAGTAGTATATGACAGTAGTATATGACAGTAGTATATAACAGTTGTATATAACAGTAGTATATGACAGTAGTATATGACAGTAGTATATGACAGTAGTATATGACAGTAGTATATGACAGTAGTATATGACAGTAGTATATAACAGTAGTATATAACAGTAGTATATGACAGTAGTATATGACAGTAGTATATGACAGTAGTATATGACAGTAGTATATAACAGTAGTATATAACAGTAGTATATAACAGTAGTATATAACAGTAGTTTATAAGAGTAGTATATGACAGTAGTATATGACAGTAGTATATGACAGTAGTATATGACAGTAGTATATGACAGTAGTATATAACAGTAGTATATAACAGTAGTATATAACAGTAGTATATAACAGTAGTATATAACAGTAGTTTATAAGAGTAGTATATAACAGTAGTATATGACAGTAGTATATAACAGTAGTATATAACAGTAGTATATAACAGTAGTATTTAACAGTAGTATATAACAGTAGTTTATAAGAGTAGTATATAACAGTAGTATATGACAGTAGTATATGACAGTAGTATATAACAGTAGTATATAACAGTAGTATATAACAGTAGTATATAACAGTAGTATATAACAGTAGTATATAACATTAGTATATAACAGTAGTATATAACAGTAGTATATGACAGTAGTATATGACAGTAGTATATAACAGTAGTATATAACAGCAGTATATGACAGTAGTATATAACAGTAGTATATATAACAGTAGTATATAACAGTAGTATATAACAGTAGTTTATAACAGTAGTATATAACAGTAGTATATAACAGTAGTATATAACAGTTGTATATAACAGTAGTATATAGCAGTAGTATATAACAGTAGTATATAACATTAGTATATAACAGTAGTATATAACAGTAGTATATGACAGTAGTATATGACAGTAGTATATAACAGTAGTATATAAACAGTAGTATATAACAGTAGTATATAACAGTAGTATATGACAGTAGTATATAACAGTAGTATATAACAGCAGTATATGACAGTAGTATATAACAGTAGTATATAACAGTAGTATATAACAGTAGTATATAACAGTAGTATATAACAGTAGTATAGACAGTAGTATATGACAGTAGTATATAACAGTAGTATATAACAGTAGTATATAACAGTAGTTTATAACAGTAGTATATAACAGTAGTATATAACAGTAGTATATAACAGTTGTATATAACAGTAGTATATAGCAGTAGTATATAACAGTAGTATATAACATTAGTATATAACAGTAGTATATAACAGTAGTATATGACAGTAGTATATGACAGTAGTATATAACAGTAGTATATAACAGTAGTATATAACAGTAGTATATAACAGTAGTATATGACAGTAGTATATAACAGTAGTATATAACAGCAGTATATGACAGTACTATATAACAGTAGTATATAACAGTAGTATATGACAGTAGTATATGACAGTAGTATATAACAGTAGTATATGACAGTAGTATATGACAGTAGTATATAACAGTAGTATATAACAGTAGTATATAACAGTAGTTTATAACAGTAGTATATAACAGTAGTATATAACAGTAGTATATAACAGTTGTATATAACAGTAGTATATAGCAGTAGTATATAACAGTAGTATATAACAGTAGTATATAACAGTAGTATATAACAGTAGTATATAACAGTAGTTTATAAGAGTAGTATATAACAGTAGTATATGACAGTAGTATATGACAGTAGTATATAACAGTAGTATATAACAGTAGTATATAACAGTAGTATATAACAGTAGTATATAACAGTTGTATATAACAGTAGTATATAACAGTAGTATATAACAGTAGTATATAACAGTAGTATATAACAGTAGTATATAACAGTAGTATATAACAGTAGTGGCTGCAGCGGTGAACACGGTTCAGACACACGTTAAAGGGCTCTGCTCCAACAGCCGTAACCACGGCAACGTAAACTTAGCTCAAAGGAGGATTGTGTTTGAGAATCTGTCATTATGCGGATGGATGTATACGCTCGAGGCTGCTGCCACACTCAGCTGTCACTCAAGGCACGCTCCATTCAACTACTTTCAATCTAATGTGTCTCTGAGGACTTTGCAAAGTTGTGGATTAACCCACAACAGATCAGAGAATCAAACCTTTCAACACGGGAATGCAACAGTGACAAAAACATGGAGATGTTGCTGCAGAAAGATTCAAGATTCAAGAAGTATTTACTAAAGAATGTATTTTCTAAAAAATGTATTTACTAAAGAATGTATTTACTAAAGAATGTATTTACCAAAGAATGTAAATACCATTGCAGTAGAACCCAGAGCGCCGCAGACAGAGAAGACAGCTCACACCAGCATCACTTTAACGTGGAGCACCAGACCCAGTCTCATGGGTTTGTTCTGGATCTGATTTAGCTGAAACCTACCTCAGGATTAGAATTATTGAAAAATGTGCATTTTGTTTTTTTATTGAACACATGGATGTGTAACAGGCCATAGGAGCTCAGAGCTGCATAATGATATAGTGAGTATTGATCTGAGAAGGGTCCGGCCCCGGGGCCCCTGGGTCTGCTGCTTCTGTCAGGGACCAGCTCCAGATGTTCTCCTCGGGACCAGAGCTGGAGGAGAGACCTATTGTACATGTTTTTAGTGGTAGAGGAAATTGGAGCACCAGGAGGAAACCTACGCAGACATGGGGAGAATGTGCAAACTCAACTCAGAATGTCCCTGTTTCGACCTCTCGCCCTCCTGAGAAGGAAGACCCTCTGCAGAGGTATGTGTGAAGAATCCGGTCAGTGAGGTGGATGTCTGCCCCAGGGCAGCTGTGGCTACAGTAGTAATTTATCACCACTGTGTAGAGAATAAGTGAAAGAAGAGACTACAGCTTCTGAGCAGGTCATGAAACATGTTTAAACACAAACAGAGATGAGGAGACTGGGCAACAGTGCCACCAAGTGGAAGAAGTGGGGACTGCTTTACATGTAGCACATGCATTTATGTAGCGGCAGCTATGTCCATGACATCACAGACGGAGGATCTGTGACCCAAAGGCAGCAAGAACCAGTCTGGACCCTCCTGAACCCTCGTGGACCCTCCTGAACCCTCCTGGACCCTCCTGGACCCTCCTGAACCCTCCTGGACCCTCCTGAACCCTCCTGGACCCTCCTGGACACTCCTGAACTCTCCTGGACCCTCCTGAACCCTCCTGGACCCCCCTGGACCCTCCTGAACCCTCCTGAATCCTCCTGGACACTCCTGGACACTCCTGATCTCTCCTGGAACCTCTTGAACCCTCCTGAATCCTCCTGGACCCTCCTGGACCCTCTTAGACCCTCCTGGACCCTCCTCAACCCTCCTGAACCCTCCTGGACCCTCCTGGACCCTCCTGAACCCTCTTGAACCCACCTTGACCCTCCTGAACCCTACTTGACCCTCCTGGACCCTCCTGGACCCTCCTGGACCCTCCTGGACCCTCCTGAACCCTCTTGAACCCTCCTTGACCCTCCTGAACCCTCCTGGACCCTCCTGAATCCTCCTGGACCCTCCTGAACCCTCCTGAACCCTCCTGAATCCTCCTGGACCCTCCTGAACCCTCCTGGACCCTCCTGGACCCTCCTGAACCCTCCTGGACCCTCCTGGACCCTCCTGGACCCTCCTGAACCCTCCTGGGCCCTCCTGGACACTCCTGAACTCTCCTGGACCCTCCTGAACCCTCCTGTACCCTCCTGGACCCTCCTGAACCCTCCTGGACCCTCCTGGACACTCCTGAACTCTCCTGGACCCTCCTGAACCCTCCTGGACCCTCCTGGACCCTCCTGAACCCTCCTGAATCCTCCTGAACCCTCCTGGACCCTCCTGGACCCTCCTGAACCCTCCTGAACCCTCCTGGACCCTCCTGGACACTGGTCTTGACTGGACCCAGAAAGGCCTGAGCCCTCCTGGACCCTCCTGAACCCTTCTGGACCCTCCTGGACACTCCTGAACTCTCCTGGACCCTCCTGAACCCTCCTGAACCCTCCTGGACCCTCCTGGACCCTCCTGAACCCTCCTGAATCCTCCTGGACCCTCCTGGACCCTCTTAGACCCTCCTGGACCCTCCTCAACCCTCCTGAACCCTCCTCGACCCTCCTGGACCCTCCTGAACCCTCCTGAACCCTCCTTGACCCTCCTGAACCCTCCTTGACCCTCCTGGACCCTCCTGAACCCTCCTGGACTCTCCGGGCCTCAGCGTGGATGGTACCAAACACTCTCTCACTTCAGCCATAGAAGAATAAAAGGTTTGTGTGCAGTGATTGTAGCGATTGTTGAGAATGTTGTTGTGATGGAGCCTTGTGGACTGAAAGGTCTTGACTGGACCCAGAAAGGCCTGAACCCCCCCTCTAAGTTCAGGTTGAAGACCTGCAGCCCCGCCTCTCACCAGGTCAGGTCGAAGGCTTGCATCTTGGAGGCTGAACTCGGGCTCAGCATCTTGGTCCGTCGCCGAGCGCTGGAGACGGTTACCATGACGACTCGGCAGAGGACCACAGAGTTGACCTGGAACCAGAAGACAAGAGCCACTCAGCTGCAGCAGGAGGAGAGGGACCAGAGAGAGACCAGAGAGAGACCAGAGAGGGACCAGAGAGAGACCAGAGAGAGACCAGAGAGAGACCAGAGAGAGACCAGAGAGAGACCAGAGAGGGTCCAGAGAGGGACCAGAGAGAGACCAGAGAGAGACCAGAGAGGGACCAGAGAGAGACCAGAGAGAGACCAGAGAGGGACCAGAGAGAGACCAGAGAGAGACCAGAGAGAGACCAGAGAGAGACCAGAGAGGGACCAGAGAGAGACCAGAGAGAGACCAGAGAGGGACCAGAGAGAGACCAGAGAGAGACCAGAGAGAGACCAGAGAGGGACCAGAGAGAGACCAGAGAAAGACCAGAGAGAGACCAGAGAGGGACCAGAGAGAGACCAGAGAGAGACCAGAGAGAGACCAGAGAGAGACC